AATCATGCAGATGCAGAATCATGCAGATGCAGATAGATCGCCTGTTTTTCTTCAGTTCATCGACTGTGTCTGGCAAATGACAAGACAGGTAACTTATATATATCCATTCTTACATCCCGTTTTTAAGCCTTCCAGTTGGAGTTAGGAGATTTGGTCACTGATTTTCCTATATTTCATGTAAAATGAAAATTCTTGTAAGGTTTTTAGGTAACATAACTATTACCTAATTATCATGTTGTGAATTAAGCTAAAGAATATTATTTGGGAGTATTAAACACTTGACAATTTGATTCTATCAGCATTTCAGTGAGTGGCTCCGTAATAACCCAAGAGGTTTCCTCCTCTATAGATAATTAGTAACATCATGCAGCATGTTCACCCAAAAGCTCATCTGCATATTGTTAAAAAGGTAAAGAAATGAAGAAACAGGCAAGTAAATTTAATGAAAAATGGGTTGGGTGGGAAATGATGGCAAGATAGGTATATAATAGATTCTTTATTTTTCTTAGGTATGGAGAGATTGTTTTTTTAGAGCTTCTACCAACTTTCTAATAAACCAATGTGAAATCTAGTGTAAATGGTTTGCTATATTTAGATAGCCCAAAAGAGAAAAAAATCTGGTTAATTATGGGATCATCCCCTAATGAGGCAAGGGTTTGGGTCATAAAAATATTTAACTCTACTTAAGAAAAATCATCTCAAAACCCCAAAGTTGGATACAGCTCATTGGTATGTCAGTTAACTATCACCCAAGGGTTTATTAGACGTCAGCTGGGAGTCTGGTTTGTTTTAGTTAGATTCTCATGTGAATATAAGGTAGGAAAATTGCTGGCTCTGCTCTGCTTTAGGGTCACATTTTAGCTTCAAGAAAATACTATTTAAAAGAAGTGGTGATCCTTAGGAAAAAATACACCAATTACAGTGTATATTGAAGTTTGTTTCTTCCCATAAGAATTTCAATTTGGGTGGATTATTTGGAAACTTGCTGGGTTAAACTGTGTTGTAGATATGACTACAGTATGAAGAGGCTGGTATTTTCACACATATACTACAAATGTGTATACAATTCGGTTTTGTTCTATGCATCAGGTTCTCATATGTTGTGGGAGGGGAGATGCTACATACTTATTTTAATGTTCACTACTTCTTGGAGCAGGTGAGAAATTTTCCTTTGGAATTGCCTTTGAGGTAGTATATCAGCTATACAAATCCTTACCAATCCTTTTTTGGGTTTTGACTAAAAATAATAGGATCCACTTTAAAAAAACAAAACATCCATGTGAGACACATTGATTGGTTGCCTCCCACATGTACCCCGACAGGGGCTGGGGATTGAGCCTGCAACTGAGATACGTGCCCTTGACTGGAATAAAACCCAGGACCCTTCAGTCCAAGGGCAGACTCACTATCTACTGAGCCAAACTGACCAGGGCAGGACCCATTTTTGGCCATTACCATATTCAGTTTCTAAATAGCATTTGGCTGTTGGCAAAAATCAAATGCCCTATCAACGGACTAGGAAGGTTGTGTGAAGCCGTGGCATCATTGATGCTTATATGGACTGCTTCCCAAGGGGACTATCTTAAAGGGGCAACATAAGTGAATATATTAGTTCTGGTATGCTTGTTAAAAAAAATCAAAGTTACCAGTTGTTTACATGGCAGAGTATATGACTAGTACATGTCTTCCTTAGTAGCTGTGTTAACTTTCTATATGCTATATACCTAAAAGCAGTCTTACTTCAATGCTGAGCTAAAGGTACTATAAAGTAGAAAATCAGTTTAATCTTGTTTCTTAGATAATCTAAAATACATTATAGAAGTGATGATTCTTTAGACATCTAGTTATGTTTTATGTACATTTTCTTCCTGAACATAAAATGTTACAATGTTTATTGGTAATCTTCAATTTTACAAATAATTGCTTGTTTGTTCAGAGATTTAAATAACACATTTGTCAAAATGAGAATCATGTTGTAGTTAACCAGATTCCACCTCTGTCCCTACTCGCATCTTCAGGAAGCAGTGGATAAAGGGCCCTTGAGATTTTAAATATGCAAGGAGAACAAAATATTCTTCTGTTTAAGATTTTAAAAGCAGTGCCAGCAGTTAATGCTCTGCTATTTTAGTGTTGTTGTGAGGAAATGCCCACTGATTAAGATGTCTTCTCATAACTGAGCTAAAAGCCCTGCCAAGAAGAGCTACCCACAGGCTCAGCTCTTCTGGATTGCTATTTCATGAGTCAGAGTACACTCATAGTTGGCTAATAAATAAGGCTAAGAGTGTTAATCAGGTGATGGGATTTATTTTGTAAATAAATGGGACTTGACCAAGTTTCTTAAAATACTTGGCTTTTTGTTGGCATGTGCTTGATCACCTGCTGCATTCATTCAGTTCCATAGCCACAACATGGAGTTACCATTTATTCTTTGAGGAATCTGCTATATTACTCTGCTTATGGCTTCCTAAAATTTAGGAAATTTTAAGGTAAAGTTGTTTTTAACCCTGTTCCTTTTGCTTACAGTTCATGCTATTTTCCTTCACTACTGGGTAGGAATCATTCTAAAAAAACTTACTTGAATATTTCCCAACTCTGCAATCTAAATGTTCATGGAATTCCTTTTCAGTTGTGTAATTGGTACAATCTTACATGGAAACTTTGGGATAATTTTGAACTATTACATTGACAGGATGGATTAAACTAAATCCTTTACCTTCCTGTGGCCTGTAATTTGTCCTTGATAAATTCCCCACAGATTGTGGTGTTTGTATAATATTAAGACATCCAGTAGGCCGCTGCCGTTAGGTTATGGAGAAAGTGAATTTTCTTTTTAATTAGAAAGAGGCTGCCAAAGTCCTGGGTTACACGATACTCCCATTTGCCTGGCTGGTCCTTGAAAAGATGAGCAGGTTCGCTTTAAATGATCTGCACATCTGCCTGGGCAGTTATTTGTGTGCATTGCTGACATTTTTTTGTAATTTCTAAAACAAAACAATGTTTTTGAAATTTAAAGAAAAATCTTATGTTGTTTATAGTCACTTTTGGCAGAGAAAGATTAGAGTTTCCAGAATTGCCCAGGTCAAAATTCCTCAGCTTGTGGGGCTAGCAGATGTAGATCAGAAACATCAAGGTCAGACCATTCAAATTCTTGATGCATAAGAAAAGATTTTGGAGAAATAATCTTAGAACTAAATAGTAAAGTGATTTTTGAACAGAAAACCAAGCGGATGCCATAATGACTTAGAAATATAGTTTTGAATATTGTTTAGCCTACTTTTAAATATTATAAAGGATCTACTCATATACTACAGGATGAATATGCTTGAAAAAAATGTCTTAATAGTTTTGTGTTTGTGGTGTTTGATTTGCAGTTTCCTACAGCATTTGAATTCAATGAATATTTTCTCATTACCATTTTGGACCACCTGTATAGCTGTTTATTCGGAACATTCCTTTGTAACAGTGAACAGCAGAGAGTAAAAGAGGTAAAATAATGAGCCCCGGTCCTGGTCTATCCTCAATATGCATTTTCCCTACTAGAGTGTATGTTGTCATGGATTGCAACTGAATAGTTGTTGTTTTGAATCATTTCTTTGGCCATACTTTATTATGATTCCTTCTTCCCAAACTTCTGAGCCTGATCTACTAGTATTTTAAAGTACCTCTGTTGCAATGCTAAAGTGCCAGCTAGCTGCCAGGTGAGTTACGGGTGGGAAGTAGTGTCTGCTAAGGAGTACCAGTGTACCTGTTATCCTTGCCGGATGGAAATCCTTCAGAACAGGTGCAGTACATATAATTGGTAATATATGATAAAACATACATTTAAATAAATGGATAGCTCAAATCTGAAAATATATTGTTCATGAGACATTTTAGTTTTTAAAATCGTAAAATAATACTGTAAAACATTCAAACACTGAAAAGATACTGTGTGTAAAGTTATTTTGTTACCCCATTTAGCCAAAGATATTACTGGTGGTTGGTATTATTTACAACAAACAATATAAGGATTACTTCTGTATGAAATTCTTAATCCTACTGATCATTGTATCTCCCTGCATCAATTTTCATTTTTAAAAAAGTGGTTATAAAATAGATTTTCCATGCTTTTCTATAAAGCAGTAGTGGGGAACCTTTTTTTCTGCCAAGAGCCATTTGGATATTTATAACATCATTCTTGGGACATACAAAATTATAAACTTAAAAATTAGCCTGCTATGTTTGTCAAACATTGAATGAACTCCCCGTAATGCCTTGGCAGGGCCAGACCAAGTGATTTTTAGGGCCTTTTAAGCCCTCGGGCCAGACGTTCTCACCACTGCTAAAGCAGAGTGGGGAGTTGCTTGCTTTGAGCCAGGCTGCCTGATTCAGACCTTGGATTTTTCACTTACTGTGTGACTTCCAGCAAGTTAATTTCTGCTTCTGTAAAATAGGGGTAATAGTACTTATTGGTGTGAGGATTACACCATACAAAACTCTACAACCATTGCTATGTAGTAAGTGCTTCCTGGACTATATTTTTAATTCACCATAGTATCTTCAGTGTCTACTAACACACAGTAAATAATTGCCTGCATAGTAGACACTCAAGAATTGGTTAAATGTTAGATAATTCAGAATAGCTAAGTTCCAAAATACTTTCATTTTTTGAGCCTTGAATAGGATTTACTATATCTTGATACTTAAAAAAAAGGAACATTTTTACTGAGGTATAATTTGCATTCCACAAAATTCACTCTCTTAAAAGTATATAGTTTATTATAAGCATGTCAGTAGGCACGAGTTTGACATGCTTGGTTTAGCGGTTTTTAAGGTATCTAGAGTTGTACAAACATCAGCACTATGTTCACAACATTGGAAAGAAACTGTGTACCTATTAGTAGTTACTCTCCATTCTCCTTCCCTCCCAGCCCCTGGCAAACCTTAATCTGTCTCTGTGGATTTGCCCCTTCAGGACATTTCATGGAAATGGAGTTATTCAGGATATGGCCTCAGTGTCTGGCTTCTTTCACGTAGCATAAGGTTTGATTTGTAGCAGTTATCAATACTTCATACCTTTTTATGGATGAACGTTCCATTGTATAACTATTTTGTCCATTTGTCAGTTGATAGACGTTTGGATTTCTACTTTTTGGCTATTATAAGAAATGCTGCTTTGAACATCTATGTACAGAATTTTATGTGCCTGTTTTCAGTTCTCTTGGGTATAAACCTAAGAGTAGAATTATGGGCACAGTAACTCTATGTTTACCTTTTTGAGGAACTGCACTGTTTCCCAATACCCTCTGAATTTAATGTAAGTGGGGATGTCACTGAAGTGTCAAAGTGATCACAACATACCTCTTTATAACTTTCATCTGAAGTACAAAGAGCTTACGTGATGAATCTCGACTTTTCCTTTTTACAGAACCTTCCTAAAAGGACAGTGTCACTGTGGTCCTACATAAACAGCCAGCTGGAAGACTTCACTAATCCTCTCTATGGGAGCTACTCCAATCACGTCCTTTATCCAGTAGCCAGCATGCGCCACCTAGAGCTCTGGGTGGGATATTACGTGAGGTGGAATCCATGTATGAAACCACAGGTATGCTGTACAATACACAGCAGGAGTTTTCATCCATGCAATTGTATATTAACTAGAAAAAGTATGTGCATATTTAGAACTTTTCCCTTTCCTGGTTAATAGTTATAACTGTATAGTAGAAAAAGCACTCCACAGGGGTAATAGGTATATTTGGTTCTTATCATTCCTGACTTCGATTGGATTACTTTAGAAATAACACTTCTATTTTGTCCTTTCTCCCCTGTACAGTGAAGGTGTCAGACTGGATAACTTCTAGAGGCCTTTCTTAATTAGGTTAGAGAAATAGGAAATTTTGGTTCAGTTTGAAATGTGGACTACTTACTACTAAACTCTTCAAAAGACTAAAAACCTTAACCTAAACTATAGGAATTACTTGACATTGGCTTTTAGATTGTATTGTTAATTATTTGTTATATTTGGAAAATTGCCAGTTTTAGAGTATTCTGTGGAAATACTTAGGGGCACTGGGAAAGCCAGAGGAAGAGCAGTGGTGCTAGAAAA